CACACACACACACACACACACACACACATTTTATACCCCTACTTTCTATGCTAGAAAACAAACTGAGTGTGAGAAGCAATAAACTGCTGGTCATGGCCTCCGGTACTTTAACCAAAGACGTTTACTTTCTACACACCCACACACAATATCAACGTGCACTCGACCTGTAGATATGTAATAAGAACTGTCCTGTATGATGACAAAAAGTTAATTGATACTGTACCAGTGACGCTGTCCCATGCAGATCAAATCTACAATCAGATCCCATACAAAGCTAGACAAAGTTAGCACACAACAGTTTGCCATCATTATGTAATCAAACGTTCTTCATCAGTTCTCAGAACACTGTTGTAACAAAGTAGGGAAGTGTGTCAAATGCTAATTATAGAACTTGGTGTCTTGCTGGGGTGACGGTGGAAAAGGGGAGGGAAGGGAGGGGGTAGGCCTATTGTTTTCGGCCCAGACTCTGACAACCGAGTGCCTATCACTCCTCGTTATAATATTATCTTAACTAGACAATTCCTCTTTTCGCCAGCTAGACTGATATGGGCCAGATAAGTTATTAGTGGGGAGAAAGCGATGAATAAACATCAAATAGGAACCATAGGAGGCTAAAAATTCAATAAACAAAACAGATTAGTGCCATGCTGACAATAAATGTTCTGATGATTGTTAGAGAAAGGCTAAATGATAAATACATGTATTGCAGATAAAATATTTCATGTGTCTGTGTTGCTCAAGACAGTCTCATTCTTAATTTTGCTCTATTCACCATTCGCTCTAAGGGCAGTCGATGGATTTGCCCAGCGGACTGATGTCATCGCTGAACCCGCCGTGTTCGGTTTGTCCTCATACGAAGTTCCGCGACGTGACGGCTTGACGGGAGACGATTTAAAGTTACGGCCGGCGCGACAAACAAACGTGAAGGGATGAGGCTCTGTCTCAACAAAACAGCAGTGAATCCCACTTGTATATTTGGGCTCATTCAAATCGGCAATGTGCTTTTTGAATGTTGATACATGTTTGTTTGGATTTACTTAAAACGGAATGAAAATCATCATCAGCAATAAATCTCTTGTCAATAGTCCAGCTGACAAAAATTGCCCAGTTAACAAACTGCCCCTGGTGTCTCTGGGTAATGAACACCCTAAAACCTGTTAATGGGAGTTACGAAAGACTATTAATTAATGTATTCTAAAGTGTTATTCAGGCAGCAATCAGGGTCGACAACGAGCTCAGCAAATACAGGCCAATCCGCAGAGAAGTACGATAAGGGTATGTGTTATCCCCAGATCTCCTAAATTGATACAGCGAAATGATACATCAGTGATGATTGAAGGAGTCGAGGTAGGCTGCCACAATATTATCAACAATCTACCGTACGCTGATAATGCAGCCTTGATATCTGACTCCGGGTTTTAGCTCCCAGATATATTAACTTGAGTGACAATGAAAAGCGAAGAAAAGAGCCTACTACTGAACGCCAAGAAAACTGAAAGCGTGGTGTGATATCAAAGAGTGCTGACATCCCAGTACGCAATATTACTTATTGTAAGAACGAAAGAATAAAGCAGGTCAATAGCTTTAAATACCTTTGTTGCACAACTACACCAGATGCAAAAAGGGACAGAGATTTTATTTTTTTTAAAGGGGGGGGGGGGGGGCGGGGGGCGCAATATCTAAAGAAACTTTCAGCAAGATGAAACTTATACTTCTCAGATAGAAACATAACAGTGAACACACAAATAAGAACCCGGAAAACGTATATTATGGTCAATCCTGCGAGATCTGGACTCTAAACAAAGACACGGAGGCCGCTGATATGTGGCATTTAAGGAGAATACTTAGAATCTCATGGACAGAGAGGAAACAGAGAAGCGCTCAAAACGGCAGGATGTGAAAGATCTATCAGGAAAAGACAATTGAGATTCTTTGGCTAAAACAAGTGGACTAGAGAAGCTGCTAGAAGGGGGGGGGGAGAGCACAGGAAGACCAAGAACAACATACACAGATGGTATGAACAACTTTGCAACTAATAAAACAAAGATAAAAGTCAAGCCGATCAAGAAGACAGACAACATGAAGGAATAGGGTAATTTTATCGTCAATGTCTGCTCCGGACCTGACACACGAAGACGAAGAAGAAGAAAGTCTTATTAATGTATGGGCCCCTAACATTCACTTCTGCTATGAAACCGATATTACTTGATTAATAGACTAAATCAAGCCTATGGTCTCTAATGACCATAGTATTATAGACCTACTAGTTGTGAGCTCAATCAACCAAGCTTGTCCCTGAATGGTGGACAAATAGGTGAGAGGTTACAACACTACCAAGTTGTCGCAATCCAATAAATATCATCATCATCATCATCATCATCATCATCATCATCATCATCATCATCATCATCATCATCATCATCATCATCATCATCATCATCATCAGCCTTTCTCACCCTGTGCCGAGGTATAAGCCACCATACTATTATTAGAGCTCTCCATTCACTTCTGTCCTGGGCTATAGTCTCAACTTCAGTCCAGGTGCTTTGTATCTCTTTTAAGCCCAAATTTAGTCCCTCCTCAAAGTACTTTTAAGCCTTCTTTTCTTTCTCTTTCCTTGTGGATTCCATCCTAAGGATTGGTGGGTAATGTTTGCTTTTCGATTTTCTCTAGGTGCGTCCAGTCCACTTCCATTTTCTTTTTCTGATTTCTATTACACCGATTATCTGTTTTCTGTTTATTTGATTGTTCCCATAGTTATTTCTTTTGATGTCAGGCCAATGAATTTGTAGAATATTTCTTAATTAAACGATTGTAGTTGGAATACTTTTAAGAAATTCTGATCCATAAGCATGCAATTATAAATGCGCTTGTGTTGAAAACCCTTGACGTAGTTCTTCCTCCTATGTTCCTGATTTCTATACGTTTCTGTCGTAGTAGGTGAACCAACTCTTGCATCGCCGGTACAGTGTTGTCTATGTTTCTTTAAATACCGATAGAGTACTTTAAATAATCAAAGAATAGGGCCATCTTGGCTAATCATTGATCTCAGCTCGTAGCAGAGCAGTGGCGGTGGGTAGTGAAGGGCTCACGGGCTTGAGCCCCCCTCCCCACCCCCCAAGTCTATCCCAAGGCAAATGAAAATAACGAAATAAGCAGTTGAAACTGTTCTGATCGACCGCAATGAACACAGAGTGATCAACTTGGCGGCTTGCTCGTTTATCCAACCACTGTTGTCCCCGCTTACAACTATAGTAACCTAACAGCCAATCAAATGTCTTTAGGGCTCAGCAATCAACCAGCCCGTTCCCACGGTCTCTCCTTAATGAAACCCCTCTTGTAAAAAGGTAGGAGACTGGGAAAAAACAACACTGCACTGAGGGCTCACGCTCTCCCAGCCCTGACAATGGGGTGAAAGTTTACGACACACTTTCCCCCAATGACACAGTTACCTGTGCATGCGCCCATAGGGCCTTTGTTAGGCGCGTTCTATTTTCTGCAACAACACGACCCAATCCACCTCATACACGGTGTGTGTTTGGAGTGCTGTGAGTTTGTGCCGCTGAGATTTAACAATAATCAAATAAAAACTAATTAGAGAAATTTGGAGGTGAAACGGCTTCGTCCCCACCATCCAGAAGATTTTAACGTAGAACAAAGCGATGGCAGACAAATGTGACTCTTCTCGTTTGAATGGTTCTCAAAATACCGTGGCTCGCCGCGAGTATAGAAAAATCATCACTGTTTTGTTCTTATTGCTTGCTTTTTGGTGGTAAAAAAGTGGAAGAAACCTAAGCCCCACCCAAATATAGGTTCACCCGCCGCCACTGTAGCAGAGACGCTATAAATACTATCAAAGCCTCCACTACCTGATGGGTTGTCATTGGACTGAAATAGGCTAGCAAAGGAAATTGTTTTTAAAATGGCTGAAGGCACCATTCGAAACTAAGAACTGGAGATAAAACCTATTTACATAAAAGTTTATGACTTAGAAATTATAATAAAGATCTTCCCATAAGCCCTTGGTGTACGCCTGCTTGCTACGGTTGCTATAGAAGCACCAGCTAGTTTTGAAAATAAACAACAGGAAATAAACCCATGAGGCTTTTTTTTTCTATTTCTCGACCTAATCGGGGCGGTGCCACTGACTGAAGTGTCTTTAGACTATTCCCAAAGGGGGGACTTTTCTCGTTCTAATGCACAATAGAATTGTAAATGGGCTGATCCAACAATGCCATGTTCATAACTGTGCCTGAACTACAACAGGGAACTGCTGCTTTTTCTTTCCTAATCCTTACTATCTTCATTTTCCTCTACTTCTTTTGTATGTTTGTCACACTCTTGTGACCCGCTATTTTCGGGGTGCCTTGATAGACGAAGCAGACTTTGTGCTGTTGAATCTAAAGAGGTGAGCAGAGTAAGTCTGATTCCCTGTACGGACTTCTCTATTGAGATCCACCCCTTGGCGCTCATATTATGACCTCATGCAGTTGCGAGCGCCGTAAAACCTCTACTAAAACTAAAACAAAAAGTAGCGAGATTGTACCTCTGTATATTACAAAGATTCATACTCGTGGATTTGAGATATATTTCAAAGAAAAATTCTTTTGAGGATTTTACTGATTTAATAAATTATTATTAAATCTAAATCTAGGCCTATGCAGAAATAGGCAACATGTTCTGTTGTAAATCAAATGAATTTTAGATTAGTCTAATTTTTTTCTGGATGCAACTTTTTATTCAGTGAAGGTTTCCGGAAAGTTTTTTTGGAAAATGGGACGAAAAAAGAAATAGAATGCAAAGTATATATTTTTTAAGTAGACTACCAGTAGGCTTGTAGGCAGAGAAAAAAAACTGCACCAAAGTATCGTTTTTAAAGAAACCTGTTTCTAGCTAAAGTTTGCTTAAAGCTTGACTATTTTCATGTTTTCGAAGCCAATTTATGACATGGAAAAGATGTTTCTCAATTTTTACACTGATGAAAGCACCATTGACTACTCTCTCTCTCTCTCTCTCTCTCTCTCTCTCTCTCT